CTCACACCTCCGCCTCCGCCCGCCCGCGGGCGCCGCCGCTGCCCGCGGGCGCTGCTGGGAAATGTAGTCCGCTCGCGGGAGGCGGGCCCGCTGGAGGCCGGGAAGCGCGCGCCCCCCGCGCATCTCACCGGGCGAGTTCACCTAGGACCTAGGCTTCCCGATGCAGGCCCTGCGGGACCTCCACCCACTGTTCTTGAGAAACTCCCCTACTGGCCCCCTGAAGAGACCCTAACTCTATCATGCAGACCCTAAGCCCTTTCGAAGAAACGTTCACCCACACCTGCCCTATGGCGTCCTCCCTTCCAGTAACTCTCATACAGAGATAATTTGTCTCCTGGTGAGGCCTGGATGAAACCAAGTGTTCTGTTTGAAAATCCCTACCTTCCAGTAAGTTCCTTAGGACCCTCACACACCACACATGCCCGTATGATCCTTTCTTCTTCCCTTAGGCCTTTAAGGAGACCACGTGTGCCCCCAAGGAAAGCTGCCTGGGGCTTCGGAGGACGCCCAGAGGCTGGGCCTCCACCTCGGACCTCTGGACCTCTGCCTCCCTTCGTCTGCCATTTTGGGAACTCCATACAGAAACCCCCTGTCCCACAACAGACCCACATAGAGATTAACTCAACACAAAGCAAAGTCTTTGAGAGCTAAAATCACCAACCTGCCACCTGCCCTTCCTCCCCCTTGGGGCTCACTTTTATGAACAACCAAATTTCATCCCTCTAGGCCTGGAGGGATCTCAAAGGCAGCGGTAATGACAGCTACCATTAGCTACCCTTTAATGAGCGGGTGAGCACGGGCCGCTCTGAGTCTGACGCGGTATTTCTCATACATGGTTAGTGCCAATCCTCGCAACACTCTGTGAGTTTATCCCCCATTTTACAAAGAGGAAACTGAGGCATATTCCCAAGGTCTCATAACGAACAGCCGGTGAAGCCAAATTAGCATCCAAGCCGAATAATATTTCAGACACGTGTGACGCGGTCATGCTTTATTTAGGGTGGCTCCTTTGTTCACAAGCCCAAGGACTCTGCAAGCTCATGGATCACTTTTGATATTAGGATTTTTTCTTTTCTTCCTTACTTTCTCTAACCTCCCCACCCCATTTTCTGTTATGAAATACCGCTGAACCTTTCTGCTGTTTTAGCTCTTACAAATTCTCAGAGCATCTCTCCACTCGACATCCACTCCACAGTCACCACAGTAACTGGTCCTAGGTCCTCCGTCCCAGGTCCCCACCTAGACAGGAAGCAAAACAAGCCAGAAGGTAAGTAGTAGAAAAGACTCCAGATAAAAATAACTTCTCTCTTTCGTCTCTACCCTGAGGTTATTGAAGCCAAAGGGTAAACTTTTTTGAATTAAAACTGAAAAAGTGAAAATGTCCAAACTGCCATTTTGAATTCAAAGTCTTATGCACCCAGACACCAGTACAGACTTATAAACACCCCCAGGAGCAAAGCTCTGCTAAACAGGCAGAAGCTCTGTGGTGTTTATTCACCTTGTTTCCTATGAACCCTCTCCAAGGAACAGCTGTTATCAAGATCTTCCCCGGAATGAGCAGCCAGTTCAAAAGCTCTGAGCAGGAGACTATAAATAAAACAAAGTTATTTGGTGGAGGGCAAAGTTGGCTGCTTTTCAAAGGAGTCTGTAGCCATCCTGGCCACAAAAATGTCTGGGTGCCTGCTGGGTGGTTGTGTGTGTGTGTGTGTGTGTGTTGGGGGGGCAGTGGGTAGAGATTATGTGTCTGCTCAGGTGGCCTTGGAGGCAGCAGGGTGGTCTGGTGAGAGAGCACTGGACCAGGAGTTCAAAGTCTGCCTTCTAGAGCGGGCTGCTGCACTGACTAGCAGAGAGGTTTTTGTGCAAATGATTAGAATTGTCTGCTTTAGTTTCCTCCTCTTTAAAATGAGTATAGAGGGTGATGAGGAGATACACCATAAAAGGGAATGTAATGTAAGAGCTAAGAGTGCAGGCTCTGGAACCGGGCTGCCAGGATTCAAATCTCAGCCCTACCTCTTACTAAATATGTGACTCAGGGCAAGTTACTCAGTCGCTCCGTGCCTTAGGTCCTTTGTCTGTAAAATGATAATGAGTTGACCTGAGGATTAAATGAATTAATGATACTTATTTAAGCAGTAACTAGCATGTAGTGAGCACTCAAAAATTATCAGCACCTATTACATACAAAGCACATAGCACAATTTGGCTTTATTACTAAAAGTAGAAAGCAAGCTAGAAGCCATAGTGAGCCTCTACTGGAGCCCAGGTGTTTGAGGGTACAGTAAGCTATGATCATGCCTGTGGATGGCCACTGCCCCCCAGCCTGGGCAGCATAGAGAGACTCCATCTCTAAAAATAAATTAACTGGGCTGTGCCTGTGGCTCAATGAGTAGGGCACCAGCCCCATATACCAAGGGTGACAGGTTCAAACCTGGCCCCAGCCAAACTGCAACAAAAAAATAGCCGGGTGTTGTGGCAGGCGCCTGTAGTCCCAGCTACTCGGGAAACTGAGACAAGAGAATCACCTAAGCCCAAGAGCTGAAGGTTGCTGTGAGCTGTGACGCCACGGCACTCTACCAAGGGCGACAAAGCAAGACTCTGTCTATAAATAATAATAATAAAATAAAATAAATAAAAATAAATTAATTAATTTGAAAAAGTAATAGTATCCTGTGCTTGGATTCAGGAGACCTGAGTTCCCATCCCAATTTCTTTACATCCTCTTATCAGTTCCAATTCAACTCAACGGTAAATGATAGAATTTATACTTGAATGACAGTGGCTGAAAAAAATAATTTATTTCTCTTTCACATAAGTCTGGAGATGAACAATTCCAGAGCTGATATGACAATTCCATAATTATCAGAGACCTGGGATTGTATCTTTTTGCTCTCCTATTCTCTTTTTTTTTTTTTTTTTTTTGAGACAGAGCCTCAAGCTGTCCCCCTGGGCAGAGTGCCGTGGCATCACAGCTCACAGCAACCTCCAACTCCTGGGCTCAAGCGAGTCTCCTGCCTCCGCCTCCCAAGCAGCTGGGACCACAGGCGCCCGCCACAACGCCCGGCTATTTTTTTTTGGTTGCAGCCGTCATTGTTGTTTGGCGGGTCCAGGCTGGGGATTCGAACCCGCCACCTTAGGTGTACGTGGCTGGCGCCTTAGCCGGTTGAGCTATAGGCGCCGAGCCATTGCTCTCCTATTCTCCAAATGAAACTTCCACCTCATGGTCCACAGTGGCTGCTTGAACTCTAGCTACCTAATCTGTAAACCAGTCAGTAGAAAGGAAGAAGGATATGCCCCAGCCCAACCCCTGACCTTTCAATGCACTTCCCAGGAATTGCTTACACCACTTCCATTTATACCCCACTGGCAAAAACTCAGTCTTGTAACCATATCTCACCAGGAAATATAGACTTTATTTCAGACAATCATGAATGCAGTTGAAAGATGGTGAGGTGAGGGGGGAGTGGCATTTCCAGGAAAGAAGGGGAGGACAGATAAGCAAGACAACCAGAAGTCTCGGCCATGCTTGGTTATGTGATCTGGGGCAAGCCACTGCATTTCTCACTTCCCCTATAGCCAAAGTGAGAGAATCAGGCCAGGTGATCTCTCTCTAGGGTCCTTTTTTGGTTCTAAAATTCTATAATTCAGTGACATGGTTTTTACAATTTCCTTAAACCTGGGTGCATCTGATGTCATTCAAACAAAATGAGATCTCTCTGCCAAGCACGTGGCATAATCAACTGTTGGAATTTAAACCTTCTGGTGAAGAGGAGTTTAGGAACTTTGCCGTCTCTACTACTGTTGTCAAAATAAGCCAAGCTGATCTACCAGATAAGTTGGTCCAATGTTGGGTGTGATACCACCTGCAATGACAGACACTTTGATGTTCCTCAGTTTCCATGTTTGCCTCCCTTTTCTGGACTTGTTTGCTTTTTCTGCTTAGGATTTAGGAGGGTGTGTTTATTGAGGGCAGGACAGCAAATCTAAGGAGCTGCAATGCCCCCCTAATTATATAGTCTAAAATGGCAGAACAAATAGTCTGCAGGCCTGGGATCCAATGGTCTGTTGTTCCTAATATACTAAGTTGTGATTGTATTCTTTTTTTTTAATTGAGATGTAGTTCATAAAATCTATGATAAAATCTGCACTTTAATGTGGACTTATTAAATCTTCACCTACCTCTCATAAAATCTGCCACATGGACATTTCAGTCTCAGAATTGTGCAACCATCACCACTGACCTAATTCCAAAACATTTTCACAAAAACACCATATCCATTAGTGGCCACTCACCTTGCCTTCCCTCCTTTGAGCTCCTGGCAACAATGAATCTACTTTCTGTGTGTTCGGATTTCCCCATTCCAGAGATTTATTTAAGTAGAATCATATGCAGCCATATGCTGCTTAATGATGGGGATGCATCCTGAGAAATTCACTGTTAGGAGATTCTGTCATTGTGTGAACATCATAGGATGCACTTACTCAAACCTAGATAGTGTAGCCCCCTACACACCTAGGCTATTATATGGAATAGACTATTGTTCCGAGGCTACAAGCCTGTATAGTACATTGTACTGGTTACTGTAGGCAACTGTAAGACAATGGTATTTATGTATCTAAACATATCTATCTGCCCATAGGAAAGGTACAGAGAAGATATGGTGTTATAATCTCATGGGACCATGTTGTATGTGTTGTCATCGTTGACCAAAACAGTATTATGCAGCCCATAATTGTAATGTCTGGCTACTTTCACTTAGCCTAATGTTTCCAAGACCCATCCATGTTGT